ATGATGATGGTGATGATGATGGTAATGATGGTGATGATGCTGCTGGAGACGATGATGATGATGACGCTGATGCTGATGCTGCTGATGATGATGCTGCTGTAAATGATGATGCTGCTGATGCTGATGATGATGATGCTGAATTTGATGATGATGATGATGATGATGATGATGATGCTGATGATGATGATGATGGTGATGCTGCTGCTGCTGATGCTGATGATGATTATGCTGATGATGATTATGATGATGCTGATGATGATGCTGATGATGATGACGATGACGATGATGATGATTATGATGATGATGATGATGATGATGATGCTGATTGTGATAACGACGATGATGATGATGATGATGATGATGATGATGATGATGATGATGATGATGATGATGATGATGATGATGATGATGATGTTGATGCTGATGATGATGATGCTGATGATGATGATGGTGGTGATGATGATGCTGATGATGGTGCTGCTGCTGATGATTGCGGATGATGAGGCGATGCTGATGCTGTGATGACTGATGATGATGATGATGATGATGATGATGATGTTGATGAGGATGATGCGATGATGAGGATGATGTTGATATGATGATGATGATGATGATGATGATGATGATGATGATGATGTGATGATGATGGAGGATGATGATGTGATGATGATGATGATATGATGATGGAGTGATGAGGATGAGGATGAGGATGAGGATGAGGATGAGGCTGAGATGAGGATTAGGACGAGGACGAGGACGATGAGGATGAGGATGAGATGGAGGATGAGATGAGGGAGGAGGAGAGAGATGGAGGAGGAGAGGAGGGGGAGAAGAGGATAGATGAATGATGATGATGATGATGATGATGATGATGATGCTTGATGATGATTGATTGATGATGATGATGAGGAGGAGGAGGAGAGGAGGGATTGGAGGAGAGGAGGAGGATGATGAGAGGATGATGATATGATGATGATGATGATGATGATGATGATGATGACGATGATGATGATGCTGATGATGATGATGATGATGATGATGATGATGATGATGATGATGATGATGATGATGATGCTGATGCTGATGCTGATGCTGATGATGATGATGATGATTAGGAGGAGGAGGAGAAGGAGGAGGAGGAGGAGGAGGAGGAGGCGGAGAAGCAGGAAGAGGAGGAGGATGAGGAGGAGAGGAGGTGCAGGAGGAGGAGGAAGCAAATATCGAGTAGGAGGAGGAGGAGGAGGAGGAGGAGGAGGAGGAGGAGGAGGAGGAGGAGGAGGAGGAGGAGGAGGAGGAGGAGAGGAAGACGATCATAAGGAGGAGGAGGAGGCGGAGGAGGAGGCCCAGGAGGAGGAGGATGTCCAGGAGGAGGAGGAGGAATAATACCTCCGTCTTGCCTCCCTCCTTCCTCCTCACCTCCCCTCCTCACCTCCCCTCCCCCCCTAAAAGAACTGCAACGCCTTCACCGACGTGGCGCTCTGGTTCCTGCTCGGCGGGGCGGGGCGGAGCGTCTCGTCGTCGTCGCCGTCGTCGCCGTCGTAGTCGTCGTCGTCGTCGTCGTCGTCGTCGTCGTCGTCGTCGTCGTCGTCGTCGTCGTCGTCGTCGCCGTCGTCGTCGTCGAGGAGGTGAGGCCCCTCGCGGAAGGGGTGGGGTCCATAATGTGTTGGATTGGGTGATATTTCGCCTACGCCTGTGTACCACGAGCGCAAACAAGAGGGGAAAGAGGGGGAGGGAGGGGGAGAAGGAGCCAGAGGTGGTGGAGGATGAGGAGGATGAGGAGGAGGATGAGGAGGTGGAGGCGGAGGAGGAAGAATTGGCTTGATTTGCAGTGCTGTCCTGGCTCCGCAGGACGGGGATCGTACCGCTGGCCACGCCTCCGGTTCAAACCGCCGCGTCGGCAGTGTGCCCGGCCGCGGAGGCCCACGCCGCGCGGAGGGGCGTCCGCGCCGAGTCTACCGAGCCGCCCCGCCCTGCGGGCGGTCAGGGCGCACCTGGGTGGGTCCTCGGCATGACGGGTGGATCACTCACTGTGGTCCGCCACGACGAGGCCTACATTCGCAGGCCTAGATGTTGACACCAGCACCAAGGTCGGCGGTGTCCCCCACCGAGGGAAGAAGATCCCGATCTCGGTGATGGTGGTAATATTCTGTCTTCCAAAGTGGCCGAAATATCACCACCAACACCGAAGTCTAGGATCACCTCCCCCCTGTGGAGGCAGCCCTCCGTCTTGGTGTTGGTGCCCATGTCCAGGCCTCCCATACATGGGGGTCTTCCAGAGGTCGGTCTGGTGGCGGCAGCACTTGGCGCCGCAACGTCTGGTCGTAGAACCGTCTTCGTTTATGGTCGACGCTCCGCCGCGCGTATGCGCGTCTCAGGCGACAAGTGCTGAACGCTACCTGCAAGCTTGCTGCTCTCCCCGATGCCGCTCGGGAGAGGGTGTTGTATTCTGTCTCTGCAAGCGGCTATCTTGTCGCCGCCTTTCTGTATGCAGGCCCTGCTGTGTGGTCCTTTCAGCCTGCGGCCGCCCAGCCAGTTCTTGTCACTCCGCAAGGGCTTTGAGCCCGGGTATGGCCACTACGTCCACGCGGACGTCTTTCTTTACGGCCGTTCCCATACGTCCCGCGCGCTCGTCACCGTGACGACTGCTCAGCTGCGCAGCGTGGGGGCATGCTCTTCTCTACTTCTCCCCCTCGCTGCTGCGCCGCGAGCGAGTGCAGCGTCTCGGCCTCGCCTGCTCTTCCCTCCTTTGCCACTGCTAGGCTTATGTCGGGCCTGTCCCCCATACAGGGGGATTTTCGACGAAACATAAAAAGATACCCCAAACATGCATCAAAAAGGTAAAACAAATTCAAAAAATAGTCCCCAGGCTATTTTTGGATAATTTTTTGACTATTCTTGGGGTATCGTCGAAAATCCCCTTGTAGGGGGACAGGCCCGACTTCATGCTAGCCCGCGTCGGTGCTGCGCCCATGCGGACGTCCAGGAGCGCGCCGCACGGGGCCCCGCGCGGTCCGCCGTCTTCTTTTATATGGCCGTTTGCAGGGACATGTAGCACGCAGCTTGGTGAATCCCTACCGTTGGGGATCTTACATAGAGGAGTCCGGATTCAGCAACTCTGGCTACAAGAATTCGTAGCACACGGGATTCTTAATGCATGGGTCCCCACCGAAGAGTCCTTAGCACAAATCACCGCTGCGAAATGATTGGGTACGCTTCACGAATCCCTGCCAGCCCATTCAGAAGCCCTGCCCACGAGAGCTGACGGGAAATGGCAAGCAGAACAACATATAAGGAAACAGCGCGGCCAACGAGAGGAGGGAGGGAACGTGTTGAGCCATGTTGGGGGCTATCTTGGAGCATCGGAGGCCTTCTTGGAGCTACGTGCTTTTTGGGGGCGTCTTGGGGTCATTTTCGGGCATCTTGGGGCCCTCTTGGGGCTCCTTGGGAGGTCTTGGGGTCCTCTCGGGGCTCTTTTGGGGCGTCTTGGGGCCCTGTTGGGATTCTCTTGGGGCTCTCCTGGGAGATTCGGAGGGCCTCCTGGGGCCATCTTGGAGGCCATCGATCAAAAGGGGGTGGGGTCCCTTATCTAGCCCCCCCCCACCCTCCCTCAAGAGCCCTCGGAATCGCCTCTTGGGGCGCTCTTGGGGCGATGCTGGGCGCTGTTGGGGCCGTCTTGTGAGCCTCTTGGGCCCCTCTTGGAGCAACATCATCGGTTTCCCTTACTTAGGGGTTTGAAACAGGATTTTGGCTTTTCGGGGAGGTCCTGAGGGGTCTCCTAGAGCGCCTGGACCCGTTTTGTGGCCCTCTTGGGGCTTCTTGGATTCATGCTGTTCGCCATCTTAAGCCACGTTGGGCTATCTTGAGCAATCTTGGAGGCCGTCTTGGCCTCTCCGAGGCTCTCTTGGAGCCATCTTGGGCCAAACAGGACCCTCTGACATCTCGCGACCCCCCCGTCCAGGTCCAGGGGAAGGGGGTAGGGGGAGGGGCCAAGCTTCCCATCCGCCCGCAATCCGTTTTGCTCATTCCCACCCGCCCTCCCAATACAGACGTAACACCCGGGAGTCGGCATGTCGCGTAAGAGCGCCGCAGACGCCACGGGCTCCAGATGCACCCGACCCTGGAGGCCCAGTCGGGCCAGGCGCGCCATGTGCGGCACGTGCTCCACGTGCAGTTTGAGCAAGTTGTTGGGTGTGTTTGGGCGGGGCTGGTCGGACGCGCGTGCGTCGAATGTTCCCACAGCAAATCGCAAATCACACGTCGCACAAAGCTCACGTGCATCCAATCTCGCACCCTCGCCGATTTATGTTTCGTCAGGCGTTGTCTCAGCGAAGATGTATCATCACTATTGGCATCTCAGGCGCCGCACATGAAATCACCGCGTATAACAGGCACCTGCGACACAAGCGCCGCCAATCGGTGACACCGCAGATCAATTATCGAAGTGTTGGGGGGGTGCGTCGTTGGCCCCGATCGAATCAATACCGCTGTCGAACCCACCCCCGCCTGCACAATCCGTGGCCGTTTTGGCCCTAAACTTGCATAGCTGGCTTGCTGGGCCCCGCCCCTGTCGACCCCCAGCGAGGATGCGTTAGCATCTGGATCTGCAGGCGAGCGGGGACGAGAGCCCTGCGGAGGCCCCAGCAGCCCCAGCGGAGGAGGTCCAGACCCACAAGGGCCCAGCGGAGGCCCCAGGGCGAGGGGGCCCTCGCGGCCGCGCGGGAGGCCGCGGGCGAGCCCTCGGATCCAGGTGGGGCGATCGAGTCCGTGAGAGATTATTGTCCGACGAAGGCATCTATACACCACCACCGTGCCAGGCCAGGGCCATCCTGGGCCCCAGGATGGTGTATAGACCCTCTTGGCCTCGGCCAGGAGGGCGTATACACCATCCTGGGGCCCAGGATGGCCCTGCCTTGGCACGGTGGTGGTGTATAGATGCCTTCTGCGAATATTGCCGGGATGGAGGAAGCAGCGACTTCGAGACGAACGTCGTGGCAGCGAGGCGCTGGTGGATGCATTGGGACCCTCATTTGCTAAACATAGTGTCCATGCAGTATCTGGGGACGGTGCGTTGCGCTGTGGGCAGGAGTGATCCATCCGGATCGACGGCGGCAGGGTGGCATTCAACAAGTCACGGCGGGGGCAGAACCACTTCTCTGAAGATCGAGCTCGTCTTAGCCACCAGAGAGCGCAGGCGGATGGACTGGTCCGCGTCGCAGCGGGGGCGGCGGGAGATATGCCGGCATATTCGAGCGCAGTGTTCGCCGCGCTCAGCCATGATGATGTTTCAATGTGGGTTCAAAGCCTCGGGTTTCAAATGTTGCCGCCACGCCTGGCAGAAAACATGGTAGAGCGTTGGAAATATGTACACCTCCCAGTGATCACGAAAGACGAGGTGATTTTTGTTAGCAGCGGGTTGGGTGGATCATCTTGTCAACTGCGGGCTGAATTCGTGCGCGCGCCTGCTCGATGTTTACCGCGAGCCAATGCGAGCGTAGTGCGTGATTGCCTTTGCGCATGGTCCGCTGTGGGCGCCGCAGGGTCAAGGGCCAAAATCGACAGAGATGGAGTTTTGATCGTGGCCGTTACTGCCGCCCCATGGGTTCGCCATGTTGCAAATAGAGGCAATGTTTTTGTTTTCTGTCAACAACTGTATTGCGTGCTTGGAAGAATCGTTGTTGAAAGATCGCAGCGCGGCGCTGCCTGGAAGCGACCGCCGACGCGCGTTTTCTACTTTATCGTGCAGCGCGCACTCGGTCGTGCTATCAATGATGCCCCCGTATATGAATCTGCCGAACAGTGACGCTTCACGATTGGTGACCGCGGCCCATGCGTTTATCAATCGTTCCGGGGACATCAGAAGTACGTGAGCTCGTTGCGGAGTACTGTGGCAGTACATATATGTGTGTATATATACATATATATATCAATAAGTGTATGTATGTATGTATATATATATATATGTATGAAGAGATGAGATGCCGCCACAAGTTGCATGATGGTAATCGCATGCGGGACAGATTGATGATGGAGAACGGCAATCGGAAAAAGGTGATCGCACCGCCAATCATTACATCGGGGAGGCGGCCCCATCAAGTGTCGAGGCGACGAGGGGCGGGCTGTGCAAGGCGTGCGGGGCTGCGTCGTGTTGTCTCGCGGTGGCAGAGTCCGTTTTTGGCAGCGGTTCAGAGGATTCGAGAAGGCTAGCGGCTGGATATATCGAGGCATCGAACAACGCAGACTCCTGCCGCGGGCATTCAGACAAGCTTGCGTTCCCAAGGAGAAGTTGCCAGGTGCGCCAAATGCTGAAGCGGAAGCGTCTTTTGCAACCGGGCGGGCGAAGCGACCGAATATCGCGGGCGAGTATTTCGGCGGCGACCCATCGGGCCGGGGCATCGGGGGAGGCAGTGCGACAACTGGGCGACTGCGACGTTTTTTGAACGGCGTCATCTCTACCGACAGCAAAACGAATTCCCATATCGAGATGCGTCTTCAGCGCCGCTTGCCCCCGCGCCCGTGGGCGAGGGCGCGCGCGGAGAAATGGCGGGGGCAGAGGGGGTGGCCGGGGGCGCAACCGTGGGCGCCATCAGTGGACGGCGTGGGAAGCAGCTACTGTCTGAGGTATATGCGTCCTTGGTGAATGCGAAGCACCCTGATTGGGGCGTCGCTGAGATTACTCCAGTTGAGATGCTCTCACTTTGCACCGCCATGACATGCGCGGTGTGCGACGCGTGGAAGCGCCTCGTATTCCCGTTCGCTGCGCAGCCGAAGTTTGAAGTATTGCCCTTGGCGCGCGACTTCGTGCCTCCCGCGGTATTTGATTCAGTTCAATGTTCAAACTATTCCGGCCATGCCTGTGCCTGCTATGGGTTGAGCGGCTGCTGAATGAGCAAACGCAGGCGGCAGCTTGCAGATTACTTTGCCAGATGGTCGCTGTCATGCCGCTGTTGTCATTAAAAAGTCAACGGGTGCACCTTCTAGGCCTCGCTGCGAGGGGCGCCGCGGGTGGCCGCCAAAGGTCGAGCCCTTGCGCCGCAGCGTCTGGGCGAGGGCACCCGCGGCAATTCTGTCCGTGGAAGTTGGGGGCGCCGTCAGGGGCGGGTCTGCGAACTGGCCCCCCCCGGGGAGGCAACCGGGGCAGCTATTTCTCGTCGTCTCTATGCTTCTTCAATGAACCGCCACAAATACCGAAGAGCGGCGATTTCGAGGTATTTTGGGCGCGAGAGAAAGCCTGCAGTTGGGGTGGTGGGCGCAGTGCGGCGGCGACGAGTTCGGGGCTGCGGCGAGTTTGTTTCGGAGCTGTTGCGTGATCAATGTGGGCCAGGTATTGCTCTCAGTGGTGCAGGGCGAGCAGCGGGCACAGCCCGGGCGGCCGCGTCCGCAGGCAGTGCGATGATCGCGCCGACCTGCGAGAACAGGGCCATCGGCGAGATGGGCAACGCAGACTTCGGCAATTTCGCGCACGAGCCACCTTGCTTGCGCCGGGCAATGCTCGCGACGGCGCGGCGCAGGGCGATCGAGAACGCGTCCGACGTGATGAGGCCCCGCCCCGTTTGGTCAGGCTTGCAGGATTTTCAGGATTCGCAGCAAGGTCGAGCCCCCGCGAGGCCACCCCCGCGCAATCGTGATGGCGGATGAAGCGGGGGGAGGGGGCGGCGGAGATTACGGCGGCAATTCGGGCGCCATCCGTTGTTCGAGCGCCCTCCTCATATTGAAATTTGGGGGGCGAGAATGCGCGGCCAAAAGCGCCCCGCGTCAGAGGATTCAGGCGGCGAAGATTGTGATGGTCCATTTTCTCGTGGAAATATTAGTTTCCCAACATCAAAAATTGCCATGTCGGTTTGGCTAGACGCAGCGCGTTGTATCGCGTGGGAGCGATCGGCGCCCCCGCAGGTAGGCGCCGCGCTTGAACGACGGATGCTCGCAACATGGGCGCCGCGGCCCCCCGGGGAACTCCCGCGCTTCGCAGCGGGGCCCCGCCTGCCCCGGGAAGTTTAGGCCCCGCCTGCCTCGCGCTCCTCCTCGCGTCGTTTCCTTCGCGTTTTGTTCGGCCCGTTGGCTTGTCGCAGTTGCATTTCCTAGGCGGCGCTGGGGCCCGAGTTTTCGAGGCCGGTCTGAGTTCGGACTTCGCAGTCGATGGCTCCGAGGCTTCTGCGACGGCCGACGCGGCCCGACTGTTCGCGATCTCGGCCACGGCGAAGGAAGAACCATCGGGGGTCATGGCGCCTTCGTTCGCCGCGCGCTTTCCGCGGCGGCGGCCCCTGCGACGATGGCCCGGTCGTCGAGGCCAGCGGGGCGTGGGCCGAGAATGCGTGGAGGGCCGTCAGGGCCCATCGCGTCGATGAGCGGCCCTGCCCCTCCTCGTGGTTATCGGGCTCGTGTGTCCGGGTGGCGACTGGGGGGTCAGGTTGGTCGCGCCGCGTTTCCTCGGGGGCTATGTCGGGGTGGGTGGGTGGGATCTGGGAATGCTGTTGCGTGCTAATGTCTTGGGTGGGCGTGCCCTGCCATCGTTTGATTTGCGTGCCCCTCGCGCTCTCCTGCGTGGGCTAGTCGTTGCACTTCGCAGCGCAGATGGGCATCGAGGCGACGATTCTCTCTGCGGCATGAAGTCCATCGAAATGGCTTGCCGGAAGAGGGCGCCCCGAGGCGGGCGTGAGTTTTCCGTCGCTTTCGAGCCAGACTGGTCTGGGGAACTCATCTTGGAACGCGACGTCGGGCGTGCCCATGCCAAACACATTAAAGATGCGAAGCCGAAGATTGCGCTGCCCGTCGGGATCAAGATCGCCCCCCCGGCGCCCGCCCCGGACCTGGCCGCCGCCGCGCCCCGAGAGCCGCCGTCGGCGACGACGCCGCCGACGAGGAGATGGAGCTCGACGCTGTGGAGGAGGAAGTCGCCTCCATGTCGGGCGATGGCTCGATTTCGCAGTGGGAGCCCGACGAGGATTTTCGGATCCATGCCAGGCTAACTTTAGGGGGCCGTCCTCGGCGCTCGCTCGTTTGTTCCCTGGGCCCCCGGGCCCTTGCGACCACGGATGGAAAGCAGGCGCGCGAGAAACAAGGAGGTCCTGAACCGAAAACTAAGCGGGGGCCACTCAGCGGGCGCCATTTCTGATGCCGATTGGCCAGACGAAATCAGGGGTCCAGAGGTTTGTTTCCGAGGCGTGGCCTTCGCAGCGGGAGCGCCGCTTGACGTGGAACCGCCGACGTGCGCAATCATTGGGTGTCGCATCTGGGGCTTGGGTTCCCGTGGGTCCTCTTCCTCATGATCCGCGCCCCTTTTTTGTCGTCCTCTTCGCGCCCTCGCCCACTTTTTCCTTCCTATCGCCTCCTCCTTCCTTCCTCTCACATCCTCCGTCTTTCCTTTCACCTCCTCCGTCTTTTCTAGCTGAAAGGGCGGTTCTCTGCCGTCAATGACCTGGCCGTCCCGGCGCCCCTCCAGATCCAGGACTGCCGCCCATCCTTGGAGCGTTCATCCCCCCGCCAGCTCCTGGTGCAAATGTGCCAGAGGGTGTTCGCGGGTACGGCGCTGCGTTGACAGGCCGCGCTGGGTGCAGAATCTGCAAGGCGTTGATCGGAGTCGGCCTGTTTAGGCTGAGGTACAGAGTCAGACGTGGCAAATCAATTCAGGGCGAGTAGCTGTTGCATTCGGCGCGCGCGCGAGGCGCCCCTGTCGGCAATCGCGAGTCGGACTTCGTTCGAAAGCAAGCATGGCTCGATGCGGCCACCGACCCGAGAGCCGTAGAGGGCCTCGCCCTTGTGCTCAGGGCCTTTGACGGCGCCGTTGCAGGCTCGGGAGGTTGACTTGACCCCCAGTTTTCAACAACGGCTCCCGCTTGATATCTCCTAACAACCCCTATTCCCAAATTGCGCTCTCGCGCGGGGCTTCCACATAATTTGTTCAGAAATCGCGCTCTTGCGTGGGATTTCCTCGCAATTTATTCAGACGCCGCGCCCTCGACATTCAGGAATCACGCTCTCTTTCTGGATTCCCCGACGATTTATTTGGGAATCGCGCTGTCGCTCGAGACTTCCCCGTGTGTCGTGCAGGACGCACGCTTCAGCACCACGTCTTTTCGACCTGGCCTGATCCCGCCTTCCCGACGCGTTTGGTAGGGTCTACCCGCCCGATCTGCCCGTCCGGTTCTGCCACGTGTTCTCTGCGCTCACCCCGTTGCTACTGTCTGTTATGCTCCA